ATGGTGCTCAAAAATGGCGAACTTTGGACCGAAATTTCCACCTTAAAATTAGCTAAGGTGTTGGGGAGAACACTACTACTTCTTCTCTTCCATTCCACTACAAAAAGGAGGATCATCATCACCACAAGGACAACCTTTCATCCTTGAACCAAGGGGGGGTTCTCCCCCCTCTACACCATTCTTCATCTTCTTCATTTCCTCTCTTAAGTTTTCTTTTGTTTATGTTGTAATAAGAAACACTTTGGAGACTTGTTGTATTTTGGATTTGGCTTGTATTTGTTCTTGACATTGGAGTTCACATTACAAGTATGTTCTATTTTCACTAAGTTTATGATGATTATGGCTTGGTTGAATGTGAATGCTTGTGTTCAAATTGCAATGAGTAGCTAATTCCTTAGCTAGGGTTAAGGGATAATTATTCCGGTTTGTTCTCGTTTATCTGCATGACGATAGCTCAATCTTGACGAGTTGTTTTAATTATGAATTTATAAAATCATACTTGATAAATTTTTATAACCTAAGAGTGACACTTAGGTTAATTTGTTCATATAATCAAAGAGTGACACTTTGATTTGTGATTGAATATTTATTTGTTGAGTTAGAGTTTGTTAATTCTACGAATTGCGACTTTTAGAACTGAAAGGGGAGGATTCGTAGAGATAATCGATTTCAAAACCGAGAGGGGAGAAATTGGTGGAATTTGGCTCGTTTAGAGTAGACATGTTCGGAGACGTATTGTCTATGTGTTAATTATTTCGTTAATTCGCTCATTTATGTTTATCAGCATGTTCGGAGACGTATTGAGGTTAAACCGCTAAATGAGTTAATTAGTCGAGCCTTTTAACCGAGTTATTGATTGCCGTTAAATGTGTGTAGAACTGGAAGCGATTATTCCCGACACCCTAGCTCGTTTATCTTTTTGTCGTTTATATTTTTAGGTAGATTATTGTTTTATGTTATTTCTTAGTTCTTAAATCTCCAACCCTATCATGATTAGAATGTTTAGGATTTGTTTTCCTTTTATGTGTTATCAATACCACTTCTAAATTCCGAACCGTCTTCCTCGAGAGATCGACCCGGGAAACGAATCATTTGATTCGGTGCTCGGTAAAATAAAAATAATTTGCTACAACAATCGGGCCCCGAGAAGCTTCAATTTCCTCCTCGAGGAGGTGGTACTCATTCGAGATCTTGGGGAGAACCACCGACTTGTACCAGATGAACTAGTTGTCAGAGAACTCGGTCGGCCTCCGCAGGTTCTGTGCACGCTCGTTGTCCACCGGAAGATAGTGATGAGACCCAGCCTTAAAAATAGGGGCGCCGAGTTCCTTCTCCAAGTCGTTCTCGAGAATTCCGGTCAGTTTCTCTTGATCGTCCTGAAACCCCCTCAGGGCCATTTTCTTAGCTGACGGTGCCTCAGCTCTGTTGTTAGTCGCTACCCTCTTTTGCCTGGTCCGACCTTCGCGATTGCCACCACGACCCAGCTTGGTGGGTTCAGGTCGGGCCAAAACTTGCCCTGTTGGAACCACAATAGAAGTCGAACCCTGCCTAACTTGGGCTCCAGAAGGGTGTTGGTTGCCCCTATGGCTTGAAGACGACCTCCTCAGAACCACGGTCAAATGGTCCATAGCCTCTTACTTCTTTTTTATTTTCTTCTTTGGGGTGGAATGACGACGACTAGTTGCCCTTGCGTCTTTGAGAGTGTGAAACCCTCGAAAATTGGTTAGGGGGTAGAAAACTGCAAAAGAGAAAAATCTCTAAGTCTAAATCACCAGAAAGAAGGTCAGAATAAACACAATAACGAGTCAACATGAGAAAAAGAAAAGGAAGCGGGTTACCGACCTGGCTCATATCGGAGTCAATAAAATTCGGACTTAAACCAACTATTTTCAAACTTTCCTCGTCTACTAGCTTTCTCCAATGACTCATGCTGATCCTCGACAAGCAGATCCACCAACCGACCTTGAAATTCATTGCTTAGCTCAGGAACTTCACCTCGTACTGAAATAGATAAGGCCGACCTGTTAGCACAAAAATAAGATGAAATTAGAGGTCGAAATAAAGAAATAAACAAAAAATTACGCTTCTCAGTTAAAAATTTGGTCATCGCTGATGGGTTGCCGGCCTTATATCTAATCACCATCATATCGGGGGGTCTCTCAATCCCCTCCAACCCAAAACTACTCGCTTGAAAATCGTGCAATGTGTCTGGCAGTTTGGCGACTAAGTTCTTATCGATGCCAGAGAGGACCGAGAAATAATAACAACCCAACTTCTTAGTTATCTCCTTGAAGGCAAAAACACCACGGATCTCCTCGGGGGTAGGAACCGGCCACCCTTTCTATAAGAACATTATAATTAACCCAATCACTTTTGTCTACATTCGACACGATTTGACTGAACCCTACGCCGACCTCCCTGAAAATTTCGATAAGGAGGCTGGGTAGGGGAAATCTCAGGTCGGACGTCAGATTCTGCTTGCGAACGCCGATGCAGCCCTACGGTGGACAATGGATCCTTTTCCCGGGGTAGGGAGTGAACCATCTGATCGATGAGGGAACCTGGACTCTGTCTCTTAGTTATGTGATATTGGCATCATTCATCACACTGGTCATTTTGCCTAAGGCCAAATGGATAGTTCTCGACCAAACTCGGTACGGCCACCTCCAGAAGAAGTTCGGCACGACCGCGACCTCTTTAATAACCCGATCGGCATTGTAGTCTCCTCGTACTAGCAACATATCTGGCGACCCCTAGTATTTCCTTGAAGCGTCTCTTCCACCAAGTCCATATCGATCTCCTCGTTCAGACCTAAGTCAACGAGTTCGCGCGATGGAGACACCGCCACATCCAAGGCGGCGAGAACACCACAATTTTCCGTCGTTTTTACTGGTCACGATACCCCTTCATCTCCGACTGGTTCGAAATCGTCAACTCGATGCGGAAAAGAAAACATTGTAATTTAACTAGAGAAAGAAAAAAGGGAAGAGTTTCTTACCAAGAAATCTCGAAGTTGCAGAATAATGGAAACATGCAACAATGGCAGAGGCAGGAAAATTTCAGAGAGAGAGTGCGAAATTCGCAAACTAAAAAGTCTGAATAGAAAAGACGTCTGCCTAGTTATAGAAGACGATCGATTGAATGCACCAACACCACGGTTTTGTGAAAGTAACCGTTTGAAAGTGGATGGGTTAGGACCACGTTGATGAAAAACTTAATCGACGCACCTTTTGAGGAGCGGACATGCCCCATAAATGAAAAACCCTTCGGATAACATCATTAAATACCTGGGGAGACGCGCTTGTTAGATAAGTGCGAAAGTGGTTTGGGTTGTCTCTTGGTCAACTAGGATTCATTTTTACAATGACAACCTCAGAGGAAATGCCCGACGACGTTCCCTCCGAGCTCGGGGGCCTGTATGTTGACATCTGAGCTGAGTTGAATGGGGAACGAGATAAAATATGATCAGTTGATAACTTAACGAAGAGAAGAGTCGGGTTAACTATTCGGGTCGGAGAGTTAGGAATAAAAACTGAACCCGGAAAGTGGAAAAGCCAAAGGTCGAGCGAGGATCGAATGTGACACACACGTCGGATAAGACCAAAGTAATGAACCGAGCTCAAAAAATCAAATCCCACAGGACGGAGCTCAAGACTTAGGAAGAAATGAGCCAGAACATCAATATTGGAGACCCGAGGCAAGCGCACTAAGGCGGCGAGAAATAATAAAATAATGGCAACTTGTAGCTAAATGATGAAAGATGGGACATACCCACCAAAAGCTTGCCAACCTACGTGCCTTAGCTTTATAGGGTCATGTGCATCATTGAATGCAAATCATTTTCATTTAATGCTCGATTGTACTGCCCGATAAACAATAATCGAGCCATCTTTACTATAAATAGACCTAGGAATCTATTGTAAAATGGTTCAGAAAAATTCTCTGTAAGAAAACATATATTTCTCTCATTAATTACAATATTAAACACGAGTACCCGATCTCGATTGCAAAATTATCACACCTCATAACCTCTTTCCATACAAATTCGTCATATTATACCAAATCAAAACAATTTTCGAGTACTAATTCGATGTTTTGGGTTGATCAAATCCGTTGGTCAAAAATATTTATACTATCAAATGTTATATTTATATTTATATTATTTTTTAACATATGTCATATAATAATAGACGTATGCATATTTATAAAAAAGAATATGTCGGCATAAACAATTAGGTCAACCTAACAAAAACAAAAGTTAAAAAAATGATTTTAATGCTTTTTGTAGTTGCTGAAAACTATAAAAATAATAATCATAACATTTAATGCTTTATATTTATTGTTTAACGCAACAGAAGTTTGTTCATAAATTTTCCCAACGCTTTCGTGGGTGCTGAAAACTCCATACAAATAATAATTATCACATTGAATGCATGCTATTTATTGCCAAAATTTTGTTCAACTCCAGAAATTTTAATTTCACACGTGATGTCACACTTTGGAAAAAGTATGGCAAATACGGTGTTATGTTTACAATAATGCTAAAGAGCCAACTATTAGCTCCATAGCTCCTTAGCATTACTGATTATGTTTATTTATTTCTTTTAAGAAATGAATATAAATTTTAATTTATTTTTATTTCACAAATTTTTGTATAATATAATGCAATCATTAGACAGGTCATTTCAACGTACTAAAAAAAATATTATTATGAAATATCATATTTTTATATTATTTGTAATAGTACAATATTTTTAATTTTAATATATGTATATATATATATATATCTAAAAAATAAGTATAATTGTAACAATGAGGTGTTTTTCTTTTATAGTATTATAGAACACATATATACCTGATTTAGTATGTCTTCCATTTAGGAATTTGCAATTCCAAGTCAACTTATGCATGGGATCACTATATGCAACAGCACAAGTCATCACACGTGTTAGAATTTCATAGGATGATGAGGTGATGTTTACATTCAAACTATTATTATGTCAACCGTTTCCATTAAGACTACTGCGAATCTCGTGCCATGCACGGGTAAGAGATTATGAGGTCTGATAATTTGTGCAAAATTGTCTAATTTAAATAGACATATTTTATATAATTTTGCATAATTTTATGTTATTTTGTGAATAAAACATGTCTGTTTAAATTAGTACACAACTTGTACGGTACACTAATTGATAATAAAGTACATTATATTCATTTCAAAATAAGTGTCATTTTGAAAAAAAAATTACAAATTTGATTTGAGCACCATGTGATTCCATAAAATAAATATTTTGGCAAGATTTTATCATATATTTAAATATCTGTATAACTAATTATAAAACTTATATTGTTTCATTAATTCAAATGAATTTATTTTTGTATAAATTATCCAAATCAAAAAATTTAAGTAGTTGAGTAATTTATTAAACTATAAATAATTAACTATTTCATTTACGACCAAGTTAATAATGATCCATAAGTTATGAATAATGACTTATTTGACTTTTAAATTTGAAATTGAAATTTGGATTGTACAATAAATTTTCTTTTATATATGTACACACACACGCACACACACACACATACACATGCACACATACACATACACATATATTATCTCGCAATTTTCAAGATTTGTTGTCGGTCACCTCATTGTTCAAATTTTACCTCATTAAATAATGTTTACAAATTAAAAATATAAAATAAATATGTAATAAAATTTACCTATATTAACTTATTGAAAATGTTATATGGAATTTAAATTGTGCAAAAATACATAAAACATGTATATTCAAATTTAATACACAACTTGTACGGTACATGTAACTGATAATAAATTATATTATGTTAATTTCAAAATAAGTGTCATTTTAAAATTTTTATTTACAAATTCGATTTGACTACATGTGATTCTATAGAATAATTATTTTGGTACAATTTTATCATATATTTAAAAATCTATGTAAGTATAATTATAAACTTATATTGTTTCATAAATTAAATGAATTTATTTTTGTATAAACTATCCAAATCAAAAAGTTTAAGTACTTGAGTAATTTATTAAACTATAAAGAATTGACTATTGCATTTACATCCAAGTTAATATTGACCCGTAAATTATTAACAATTACTTATTTGACTTTAAAATTTGAAACTCAAATTAGACCACATAATAAATTTCCTTATATATTTCACACACACACACAGACATATATATATTATCTTGAAATTTTCTACATTTGTTGTCGTTCACCTTATCGTTTAAATTAATCACCTCATTAAATAATATTTATAAATTAAAAATATAGAATAAATATGTAATACAATTTTTTTATATTAATTTAATAAAATATTATATGCAATTTAAATTGTGCAAAATTACATAAAACGTGTTTAATTAAAATTAGTATACAACTCGTACAGGGGACTTAAATGATAATAAATTGCATTATATTCATTTTAAAATAAGTTTCATTTTAAATTTTTATTTAGAGATTCGATTTGACTACGAAGTTATTTATAAAATAATTCTTTTGGTAAAATTTTATCATATATTTAAAAATCTCTGTGAATGATAAGTATTATAAAATTTATATTGTTTCATTAATTAATAAATTTATTTTTGTATAAACTATTCAAATTAAAAAATTAAAGTAGTTGAGTAATTTATTAAATTATAAATAATTAACTATTCAATTTGCAATTCCCGTATTTACTACGAATTAGTAATCATATGTAATTAAGGTAATTTGTTAGACAGTAAATTAGTACGTGCAAGCAACTATGGGGTCCAATTAATTAGAATAGCATCACATTAACTAAACTAGTGCGTGGCTCGTGCGATGCACGGGAAAAAAATATTACGATTGTATTATAAATTAAATATATAAATAACATTAATCATGATTTATCCATTATTTTTAAATTTAATCGGATTGGACACAGTCCGACCGGATGGACCGAGAATCGGTTTATAACCAGTCTAGTTCGCTTGAATAAAATATTTGCTCTCGAATCCGTCACCACCAGTCGGTTGGACTGATAGGATCGATACGATTTTCTAAATAAATTTTATTATATTTAAAAATATTTTAAATAAAATTACATATTTAAATAAAATAGAGATTTATAAATTATTTATCAATTAGTTTAAACATTTTAAAAAATTAAGATTAATTGATTGATTATGCAATTTAAAGAATATTTTTAGCGTTCAATTTTTTTTTAAGGCACAAATATAAAGACCGAGATTAAAAAACTTTTGTTATATTTTGAATTGAGATTTTATAAATATAAAGACCGAGATTTAATATTGTTTGTTGTTTCTAAGAAAAAAAATAAAAATAAAAACATACACACTTAATAAATCTTAGCCGGATTTTTTAAATAATAAAATGAACTAAAGCCCGAAATTTAAGGTAGCATTTAATGTTGTATGATTTTTAAAGAAAAAAATAAGAAAAATAATAAAACTTACTATTTATAAGCTGCATTAAATTATTGACCTATTTTTTTGCTACTATTTTTAGTAAATGTTAATTCTTTTTATATATATATATAGATATAGATTATATACTCTCTACTCTAAATTTTGTCTCTGTTTGCATTTAATCAAAATGTTCAACTATATATAACAAATATATTATATACCAAATATAATATACATTGTATACCTGGTAATAGCCACAATGTATTATATATATACCAAATACATTACACTTTGTCAATATATTATATACCAAATTTAAATCATACAATTAATAATGATAATAGCCTCAATGTTTGACCAAAATGATTTTGTACATTAATGACATTGATTTTTTTGATTTGAATTTCAAATGATTAGCCATCATTTTTCAAGATTATTTGAAAAAGTTACTAATCAAGGTAACATTGAAATTTTTTGGCTGGATATCAACTGTTTTTTCAGGTAAATGACAAACTTTTTTATATAGATATAATTTTCCTTAGAGAATAAGGAATTGTTTGCCATATTTCTAATGAGAAATGCTATAGGTACATAATATTGTACATAGGGTTGTACATAACACTCACATTGAGTGGGATCGACCAAAAATAAAAAATCAAGTGGACCCCACTCCATGTGACTGTTATGTATACCTCTATGTACATTTATCATATATTTGTAGCATTTTTTATTTCTAATTTACAATTTTTTAAATAGATTTATGTTCATGGACTTTTACTATTATTCAGAATGTTTTCATATATTAAATCTTATAAATTATGTAACTCATAGATTTAAATTAATTCTAGTCCTAGAGCTCCATTTTAGATAATTACACAATGGGCACACTTTTCAACAAAATTGCCACAAATTGATGGATAAAATTTATTTATTTATTTATTTGAATTGTTTAGCACTATTAAGTTGTGCACTTCCCAATCTCAGTATTTCACTATACACTACAATAAATAATCAAATTTCAACGGAAAGTTTCAATACAAATATATTTTAATGGAATTCCAATGGAAATTGCAACAAAAATATTCCGTTGGATTGAGTTTTCCATTGGAATTTCGGTTGGATTTTGAAGATTCCAATGGTAGATTTTTCAACGGAAATTCTTACGGTAAAAAACCGTTGGAATCATCAAATTCCATCTAAAATTTCAATGGAAAATTCATTCCAATGAAATATTTTCGTTGGGATGATTCCAACGGAAGTTATACCATTAGAATATCCGTTAGAATATAACATTTTTGTAGTGATAGTTGTTTTAATTGAATTTTCACCAATCATTCAACAATAAATAGTTTGTTTTAATCCATACTAGTACGATTCCGTGCGATGCACGAGTAAGATATATCAATTAATATTTAAAAATAAAAAATTCTCATTAAATAATATTTATAAATTAGAAACATGGAATCGATATGTAATATAATGTACCTATAATTTATTGAAAATGTTATATAAAATTTAAATTGTGCAAAATTACATAAAAATGTCTATTTAAAATTAGTACACATTCCGTGTGTTGCACATAGATGATAATAAATTATATTATATCATTTCAAACTATGTGTCATTTCAAAATTTTTATTCAAAAATTCGATTTAACTATAACGTGATTCTATAAAATAATTATTTTGGTAAAATTTTATCTTATATTTAAAAAAACTATGTGAATAATAAGTATAGATACAAAAATTATATTGTTTAATTAATTAAAATGAATTTATTTTTGAATAAAATATTAAAATATAAAAAAATTTAAGTAGTTGAGTAAAAGAAATCAGTCATAAGATTTTTTATGCCAAAAATATTGACACTCTTTATCATGCTAAAAAAATGAACAATGCATTTCGCACAAAAATTATATGAAATGTCGTAACAAAAAATAAATTAAATCGAGCGCCACTAATTATATAAATAATGATTAGAGCTTTTTCTACAAAAAAAATATTGATACACGCACATTATATCAAAATATCAGTTCATATTATTTTGTCAGAGTTACAGTAATTTTATTGCGTTAATTTTATACGAAAAATTAAAATAAAAATTGAAACTCACGCCTAAAAACCAATATATTAGCATGCGCATTACAGAAAAAGTACACCATATATTGATTAATTTTTCAACAATTTTTTTACAAAGAAAAAAAAAAACAGTTATCAAATAACTTAAATAAATTTGCTCACTTTATACCATATATTGATTAATTTATTTCCTATAGAAACAACCATCAATACCAAAAATAAATTCATATATTAATTAATTCACATGATTCGAGTATATAAGGTATCTTAAAATATGGCTTAATTAAATAATGAGCCGCAATTACTATATGTGATCATTTGAAATATACCATAAATTGTTAAATTAATTTTTTAAAATAGTAAATAATTTATTTTTAGGGAAATAGTTACTATTTGAAAATAATCAAACCTTTTTATATATACTAGTACGAATCCCGTGCGATGCACGGGTAAGAGGTATTCATTAATATTTGTAAATTAAATGATCATTAAATAATATCTATAAATTAAAATAT